ACTTGGTTGTTGTTAGAGTTATTCGCTACTTAAGCTACCACGAGCGCTTTCGACCTTGCTTAAGGGTCTCATCAGGTGGATGTTACGGTGCCATTCGAAATGATACTCTTCGAAACTGGACTAGATCACGGCAACAAATATTCCTCTCGAAGTTCGAGCAAAAAGCGGGTAAATTGTTTTTAAAAATCATCCATTGAATATTGTTTATGAGATTCAAATATTGGGAGAGTGTTATTAGAAAGACCATTTTCTTCGTTGCTGTCATCATAATACATATCCGTTGGTGACAGCTCATTCTTATCATTGTCACTTTCTTTTTCATAATTGTGAATCTCCTGCTCATCTAATTATTTCTGACTATAGTCAGAAATGATCAGATTTTCCTCACTTCAAAAATATTATAAAATGGAAATACCTTGTTAGTGAATTGATGTTGTTACGTTTAGATCTTTTCCCTTCTGCTGATAAAAAATATATGAAATGTTCGATCTTACAGTGCTCCCATACAGAAAAGCTCATAATATTGATGAATGCACGATGTTTAAATCAATATATCTAAACAAGATTTGGTGGTATTTAGCTAGAGTTAATATTCCCGAATCTCGTTTCACTTTTTGTTTCTTTGCAAAAATATATTTATTAATGAAAGGTAATATATTTTTTAATACACTGAACATAAATAATAGATGTTATCGCTTATATAATAAATAAATAATGTTGTTGTGTTTCTTATACTCCAATTGCTTATATTAAACACATTATGAAGAGATAGGGCCTCGTGCCAAAACTCATAGCTGCAGCGACGAGTCAAATACGTGCAAACTAAAAGATTTCTCGTTTAGCGAGTATACCAGAGCGGCAGTCTCTTAATCAAGTTTCAAATGAATATTGGACAATACTTCTATCACTCACTGCATCTGTTCTGAGTTTAATGTGTGTAAATAGAATTTTATACAGTGTTATTAGACGAAAAAAATTTTAAGTTATTCTAAGTGTGAAAATATTCGTACTTATATTTATACAAAAGTAGTACAAGAAATTAAGAAATTACAAGATGTTTAAGATCTTGACTTCTTAAAATTTCTCGAACGCTTACATTTTTTTACCAAGATCTTGAATATTTTACTGAAAAAATTTAAGAAGTTAACATCTTGCTTACAAGAAGTTTCGCTAGGGAAGAAAACAAAAACATTCTCCAAAATCAAGGGTAAATTCTTTCATCTTCCTCCTATAATCAGTGATTGGGAAGTTCAACGAGTTCTACCATTTCCGACCAAATAGTGAACGATTAGATGCATCCTTTCACTTAAACACTCAAATTTTTGAGCCGAACACTGTGAGCCATCGAAACTCACTACACTGTAATGTCGGAAATCATTTATAGAAAATGCTCAGCGATTTTCAATCTGGAAATTTCTCGGCGATTTTATGTAAGGACTTACGGAAGTTCGAAAAATAGAATTAATTTCCAGTTATCTGGAAAATCGCCTAGGAATTTCCAGATTATTGCTTGTGTAGCAATGAGGCTACGCTGCAAAAGACAACTTAAAATTTTAGAGTGTTATAATACATTAAAATTACACCCTAAATCCTCATAAAGCCCCTTGGGATTAACTAAGGCTTTTTAACATTATCTTCCGTGATTAAAAGCGCGTTTATGGATTAAAAACAACAACACCACTGGAACGCATCGAACGGTCAAAAAATATGTCTTTTACGCTTTAATGTTTTCTAAAACTTGTTTTCTGCATCGACAACGCGTTCAAAATTCGAATTGAAATCCGCATTAGGAGAATTCAGTGTATTTTCAATGTATTGTAATATGTCTAAAATTTTATAAAATTTTGTTGATATGTCGAAGCGCGTTTGTTGTTTGCGTGCAGAAACAACGTGTTTTAAGCATTATGTGAAGCAAACAGTATGCTTTCCCTAACGCATTCACTGAAATGTATTTAAATGCATTTGAGTTTAATAAAACGCATTTTTGAAGTAAACTTTAAGTAGTAAATTTTAAAGTCTTTATCATCTGAAATAAAAACAGAACAAAAGATGGTAAAGTCAAATTCAAATCTAAATTGTAAGACTTAGTGCAAGAATGAGTACTAAAACCTGATGAAGATTCAAAACGCCTGCAACTGTCGAGAATGTAATGGACTATAAACATCTATGAGCTTAAATGAATGTGTTAGATCAAAACATGTTGAAAGAGCATCGTGGACCCTGGAAATTAACTTAACACTTTTTCAAGTATCAGATCCCTAGTAGAATTTCTGTTTAATTTTATTCACATAAAAGTATTAACTTATGACTTGCGCGTAATATGACTGGTCCACGTATACCGTATCATCTTCGAATTTCCAACTATCCTGAAAATCGGTACTGATTTTCAAGAAAACTGGAAAATCGATTTCGAATTTCAAGAATCTTGGGACTTATTTATAGAAAATTGATGGATTTTCTAGAATATTAGAAAATCAAAGTCGAATTTCCAATATTTATAAAATCGACGCCGAATTTTGATATTTTTGGAAATTCTATGACGACTTTCTGAATAAAACGAAAATTCAATTTATAGAAAATCGAAAATCTCGAATTTCTAAAAGGTCACAAAATCTACGAGCATTTTATAAATATCAGAAAAAGCTCCACGATTTTCCAGATCGATTTTCTATAAACTAGAAGTTAATTCCAAATTAGAGTATACAGCTCGACGACATGTAAGTCAATACTAACATGTCTTGGGCTTAACTCAGCTCAGGATCACCGGCTTCTGGCTAGCTGGATCAGAGAATAATTAAATGAATAAAAATAATAAAGTTATTTACATTTAAATTTCCTGTTACTGTGATTTGCATGGGATTTTTGCCCGTATTAGCCCCGCAGCAGCTACAGAAACCAGCAGAAAATTAGATAAAATCCTACGGCAATCATATAGTAAGATCCTGCAGGATCTTACAAGATTCTACAAGATCTGACTACAGGATTCTATAAGAATCTTACAGTAAGATTTTGTAGGATTTTTTGGCTTGGAGATTTTCCTACAAAAATCTTCAAGATCCTACAAAATTTTCGTAGGATCTTAAAGGAGTCTAAAGGAGGGTTCTGTGAGATCTTGTAAGAATTTTGTAGGATTCTACGGTAGGCTTGTTTGACCTGGGTGGTACGGAAGGCGTTACCTATGTCGTTCATTCTACGTGATCGTCACTATTCTAGTCTACGCTCGAGTATTTTGACAATACTTTTATTTTGCATCTTTAATGTCTTATTAAAATAACATTCGGAATGATACGTAAAAAACTACCCAAATAAAACGTGTCTACAAATTTCTGTGCAAAATCTGCATGTAGACAGTATTCCAGGAGCATCAAAAAAATTAATTTCAAATAAGTCCATACAATAAATTGATAAAGAAAGTTTTAAACCCAACAAGGATTTTACAGAAACTGCACGGCTATTTTTAGGTTTTAATAAAAGTCTTGGCGTTATATTTAAAACGTCTCGGCAATTTACTAAGGGAACTTCTTAAAAATAAAATCCACACACCGTATTATTTAGTACTGTAGGATTATTATTTTTGTATCTCGAAAAGGGAGCAGATCAGTGCACTATAAAAAGTAGGTACGATATCAAGTCAGAAAAACCGAAATATAGTGAGATATTATAGAAAATTAAGCTTGGTTTTAGCTACCATGTGTCCATATAGCAGCACAGATTTTAAGTTGAATAATCTCTGGAACAATTAGAATCTGATTCTTTAGATTTAATTAAACACATATGACGATAAAAGAGAAGCAACTAACTGCGCGCAGTTAGTCGCTTCTCTTTTAGAGTGTGGTATCTACACCATTATAAAACGATGATAGTCTATAACAAGACCATCAGTTTTTTAAAATTATTACAGTACCCATCACTAACGGCTGTTCTTGAACTAAGCGTTGAAAAAAGCAGAATAAATGAAGGATACAGACTGTATTAGTATATAGGTGTCGCACCATACAAACAACTTGACCTCGTTTCTAAGCTTCGCATTTCTCGTTAAATAGTTGAATAATCTCTGATTACCTATTAAGCACTGAGTGAAGATTGTTTTATTAGAAAATTCACAGCTGTTTTTGCCTGACAACTAAACTTATCGAACTGCGATAATGGCGAATGTTTACAAGCGTTACTTGGTTGTCTATATTTTAATTGTTCACTGATAAACAGTCATTACAGTCTTCCATTATGGGCACCCATACGATTCATCGTGCTATCGGTCATCGTGATCCACTGTCGTTTCCTCGGTTTGAAACAGATGAAACGTTTAATGGAAAAGTTCAAACTCAGAAACATCCATATACTACACAAACTCATGAAGCTCACCGAGATGAACCATGGAATCGATTATATTCAACCGCCACACTTTCCAGTGGGCGACATGAAATTTATACAACCGATCCAAAAGCGCCAAATGATAGTCTCGATTTTTTACTAAAAACCACTTATGATCAACATCAAGAAACCTTTGCGAATAAAGCAAAAACATGTGTACAGAAAGAGACAGTCTCTGATGATCACGGGTATGAGGAAAAGCAAGCAGAATGGAAGATAAACACCTGATTGTATTTTTTTGTTTAAGTCGCATATTGAAAAATAGAATCGTTTACAAAGCAGTAGTGCCACCTGAATTAAACCATCCGCTAAGAATAGCTGAAAATGAGCGTAAAGAGCATATTGCCGAACCAAAACAAGCGATACGTAAGTTATGAACTGTTAGTTCGTTGGACGATTGTATCTGATGGGATTCTGCCGTTATGATGTATCGTTACTATACCGGTTTATTCGCTCATATTTTAGCGGACACTGGTTCCGCTTAGAATCACAGAATATATGGATAGTTGACATCTCTGTGGATTGAGTACATAAATAGACAAAAAAGTGATATCTATTTTGACCTCTCCCTCGTCGGTATAACCTTTAGAAAAATACGCATCACGTTCTTAAAGTCCTTTATGGTTTGTTTATTTATAGAGGGTATTCATTCAATGTTGACAAATCGTGGTTATGCACGAAATCATCTTGGCTCATTTTTTGTCGCATAAAGAACATATTTTACTGATAGATTTTTATCTACAATGATATTCGACAACACATCGACACATAGTTTTTAACGATAATCAAACAAATACACATAATAATTTTTGTATTCTGTTATATTTTTTATATTCAATTTCTTGTGATACAATTCATATAAAAATAATTAACAACCCTCCCGACTAAGAATCCTCAAACCGAGGTGATACACTCCATTTTCAACGATTTATATGTCGATCGATGGATGATAGGGAGCTAGTAAAAAGCCTAAACGGATTTCTCCCCATGGTGATTTGTCCAAAAGTTATAGAATATTTTTGTGTTTTTCCCTTAAGAAACATGGAAAAATTAAAAATTATATAACACGCTAAAAAAAACCAGCTAAGGACCCGAATTTTTTCTAACTTTCTATATGCCTCTGATATCCACAAAAAGTTACAGTTCAGCTCGTTCAATTCCTAACTAACTAAATTTTTGAATTTTCCAAAGGTTCATCCTTGAATAGGCTCGCAATGGCAGAGCTATAAAATCGTTAATTCTTTGCCAAAAGTATGGAAACCTCCAGAACTGAGATGGTTTCGGCTGACTCACACTCTGGAATAATTGAAACTATATGATTTTGACGTTGTGGAATTCAGGCTTTTTAGGAGGTGTCTGGAAACCCTACAATTCGCGATCAGCCTAAAGCCAATATTTTTGTTTCTACAATAGAAATAAGACCGCAAGACTATCTCCGTTCTGAAAGTTTTATTAGTTTCGGTAAAGAATTAACGATTTTATAGCTCTTCCATTGTGACTCTATTCAAGGGTGAATTCAGGAATTGAACGAGCTGATAAATTAGAACTTTTTGTGGATATCAGAGACATATAGAAGAGTTTTGAAGAAACCTTAACTATTATTATTGAGCTTATAATACAATTTTTAATTTTTCCGTGTTTCTTAAGGGAAAACATAAAATATTCTATAACTTTTTAACAAAGCACCGTGAGGAGAAATCCTTTTAAATTTTTTACTAGCTCCCTGTCATCCATCGATCGACATGTAAATCGTTGAAAATGGAGTCACCTTGAGAGGGTCCCTCGTTATAGCAGATATGCAATATGAGTTAGTTCGATATAATAACATCACACAAAGTAATATACAGGACTTGAAAAAACTTAAAAATGAAGCTTTTCGTCTCATATCTGATGCTTGTCGAGGTACCATCATTGCAAAGCTTTACACATAACTTGTATACCATCTATTAGGACACTTATACAAGTTTGTAATCAAACAATAGTACATAAAATAATTAATAACTGGACTGTATTGTAATAACGTGAGCTCATTATTTTAAAGTAAGAGATAAATCTTACGAGGAAGGCTCCTCAAATGTCACGTGATTTTTGCAACGGTACATATCCTATCTTGTAGAACTCGATGCGCCGACCACAGCAAAGTTGGTGTTATACCACAGTAGACCATCTACGTAAAACTCAAATAATTCCCATACATTGATTGGGATTTTTTTGCTCAATAGCGTCTAGCAAAATGATTTTCAAATCACTAAGTATCCATAAAAGAAGATTGAATGAAAAATTATAAGTTCATGTAGGATACACATATACATTTGAAAACTAGTAATTATTCAGGGCAAAAGTGAGGTGCCGAAAATTCAAAGAAATGGCAGATTTTTTATCGTGTTGAGCACAAAACTGGCTGTTTTATCAAAAAATACTCGCGGGAACTGTCAAGACCAATTTAATTAGAAAGAATAAAATTGTTTCTTAGCACGTAAACAAAACTAAAAAAAAAGGATCCGTTACTTTTTTCCCATAGGTGTGACGATTAGAATCACGTGAGAGAAACTGTTTCATCTCTCAACTTTGACGGTATATGTACGAATGAATTGCACCAAGATAAAAAAAGTTTCTAATAAAAGAAATCCGAATCGTACGTTTGATAGAGCTATGTCCATTGTTCATAAATATAATATTTTCCCTGCACTTTAGAGTTTGATAAGTCTCCGAAACAATGATTTTCAAGAGATACCTAATCTTTAGAGCTATCGTTTTTGGAAAATGGCATTATCGAGGAAAAATAAAGCTTATCGTTTTATTAAAATAAAAGACGACGTATAGACCCTATATATTTTTTGTGATTTCAGGATAATAGCCCAGGTTTTAATGAATCATATGGTGTATGAGCTGGAATTCGACGTTATTTTAGCCGAAATATATACAAAATAATCTCCGTAGACATTTTCGATGTAAAAAGAGATTTTCGCTGTAACAAGACAAGCGAGAATACGTGGGATTTTTACCACGTATTCTCGGCACGAAATGAAAAAACTAAAAGTTTAGGCTCTAACGGATAAATTATTTCGGAGTTATAGACCAAACAATTTTTAAAATCTTGCTGAAGATATGTTAACGTATCGAAACGTCTTTTCAACAAAACTTAACAAATAAATAAAACTACAAATTCAAACATAATAAAATCACTCGATTTCATACTAAAAGCATTATAAATATTAAGTAAAGTACTGTATTTTATAGAGCATCGTCGGCTCGTTGAAATGAGATATTAGATTCGACAAATACTTTCACGGCTATAGTGGAAATAAGATGGAGCATGCGCTTTTCCACAAACTTCAGACACTGACCTCTCCAAGCTCTCAGAACATAAATATTTTTATTTTAATTGTCATCAGTACTGCGTGCAAAGCTTTAGCTTCATTGTCTGTTATTGGGTTGACCACCTGCAGGTCTTTTGGATAAATCTCGCTCGAGGTACATAATATGTTTGTCGATGTCTCTTCTACTCTCTAAAAAAAAGGTATTTTAAAATACCTGAAAGGGTTTTTTGCGACATGAAGAAACCTCAACCGTTTTTCAGAACATAATTTAGCCGTATTTTAGAAAACGAAAATTAGTTTCTTGATAAGAATAAGAAACTTTTAAACAGTTATGATATGGTTCAAATGGTTATACCCTTTAAACCTTTCTCACGGATGGTTATACCTTTTTTTGGTTTTCTCAAATGGCAAATACTTTTTAGAGTTTTTTGAAATACCTTTTTTTTAGAGTGTACTGCTGCCACAACTACATAATTTCTGTTATTTTCTGTTTGTTCTTCTCGTACTAATATTGTGGAACGGATGTTAATCTTCATTTTGTGAAGCTCTGAGCACTTAAAAGGGCAGAAAGTTTTCGGAGAAGATAATAGTAGAGAAAAGAGCACTAAATTTGCAAAAGTGAAAACCGAGCACTATTTTCGAGATGCGTTAAAAGAGAACTTATAAATGGATTTATTGTGCACTAGCTTTTTATTAATTAATTTAATTAATCAACAGAACATAGAAGGAGGAAGTACAAGTTTGCAACCGTGGCTTATTGCTGGAAAGCTCCACCCACATACTTTCTTTGGCCGATCAATCGGTTTTCGTTAATGGTTTGGTTAATGAATAGTATGGCGTTATTGAATTACTTCGTTGAATATACTGCATATTTAAAATATTTAATAAAAATGTTATAACTCATCTACTGCGATCTCTTCTATGTTATAATCACTTGCTATTTTTTAAATTACTAGCAGAATATTTCAATGTTTGAGTATTTTGCGTTTCTGAGACGTACTCAACGTAGAATAGAAAAAAAAAAGAAATCAACGTAGATATTTGTGTGAAAGAAAGCAAATACAAATAAAACGCAGTAAACGAAACAAGAAAAATCGATATATAATAAAATTTAAATTGAACTCCATTTTTTTTAAGCAAATTAAACGCGTTATAAATAGTGAAAGACATTCGGTTTGAAACGTTAGTTTTGTATAATTTATTCACGTATGAAATTGTTTCATAGCGTTCCACATATTCTTTGTATCTTGTATACCTTCTTCCGTTGAATTCGAATAATCTAAGGCATCCACATTCCACATACCGACGCCTCTTAACTCCAAAGAATTTGCTATTTGATATTTATAGCCGAGTGATTCTGGATCATCCATCCATATTTGATGAAAATTGAAATCTGTATCCATATAATTGAAATAAGCAGACTTATACGTATCATTCCACAGTCGACCAGTTGTCGATTTTGTTCGTAATAATCGTCTACATTCACTGTAATCTTTTTCTCGACCGCCAGCATCTGAACACGGCGCACCCCGAAACGGTACATGTTCTATTTGACAAATGTTCTTATCATCTAGCGATAAGCATCGATAATCGTAACAATACCATGGTACACCTAAAACAAGTTTGTTGACAGGAATATCCAATAGACGGGTAAAATTAAATAGACCATTTGACACTAGATGAATAGGTGAATTAGCTGATGCAATACAGTCATTAGTATCAAATATTTGTGAGCGCATATCATAGGACATGACAAATAACCAATCGGATGCTTGTGATAAACCAACATAATCGTAACAACGGAGATCAATACATGATGGACTCCAAGCAACATCAACTGTGACCTGCAATGGAATAAAAGTGCATTTTTTAATATTAACCAGAATACTGAACGTAATTTATAATAACATCTCTTTTTATATAACACTAGTTCCTTTAACGTCTGTGCTAATGGAAAAATTCGTAGTGATCTCAATTGGTTTTATGTCTTACCTGCGATCCCGGTATTGTCTCGTGCATTCTATTCGTTAAATTTCTGACTAATTCTGTAAATAATTTCACTTGGGGCGTTTTATCCAATATTGAATCTTCCATATCAACATTGACACCATCCGTATACGTCGATCGTACTTTTTCAACTTGTTCATTGATCCATATGTCATTTGCTGTATCATTCAACAATTGATCAACGGGAAAATTGGCTGCCCAAACTAGACGAACGTTTCTCGCATGTGCATAACAAAGTAACTGTGGATCAAGTTCTGTAAAAAGAGCGATTGTTGTTAATTGAGACCAGTCATATTGGAGCCAATTTGATTTATCAACTTGGAACGCTATTTTTTCTTTTCGATCACCAATTTGCAATGGTTGACATAAAGTTTGATTTTCACAAGGACACGATGAGGAAGAAATTCGTTTTTCTTTCAAACATTTGTTTTGACAACTACCAAGATAAAGCAATAACAAAACAAACACACCATAAAAGATCATGATAAATGAAAATGAAAGAGTTTTCTGCAAAAGATAAAACGGTTCATTTTCGACAAAAAAAAGAAACAAAAAAAAACCAAAGCAACAGTGGCACGCATCAAATATAACTACTAGTAGATATATTGAGAATTGGAGGTATTGCGAGATTATTCACATAGAACATTAACAATATATAGTTGTCTTCTTTTTTTAAAAAAGAATATATTCATTTACATAACGAGCACGTCAGACGAAAGTTTATTCGTTTTATCACAGAAATATGAATGATTATAGAAAAAATAACAAGACAAAAAAATGCATTTAATAAGGTCGCCTCGTACACTGTCCTTTTATACAATTTGTGAAAACTTGTAAAAATGTACACAAAACTGAAAGTTTAGCCATTTGAAAGAGAAAAAATTGTGCTCATATTAACCACTTTCGTCCGTTGGTCGTTGAGTATCGCGATTGGTACGATTCAATAGTTCAAGATCTTCTCTAAAATAATAAGAAAAGAGATGTTAAAATTAGCACAAAGATGCAATTTTTGACTATTCAGTCAAATTCAAAACAACAAGTGTTATCACTAACCTTAAATTCGATGGTAAATTGTCAATTTTAACTCTTAAATTTGCTAGTGATAATAAACATAACGTTTTCAGTGTTGGAGCTGAAAATCAACAAAAATACAATGACAGTCATCCGGTATTTCAACAAACTTAATAAATTAATTAGTAAAACAACGAATAAATCCATTCAACTCAACTGATTTTAAAACACTTATTTAAAGTGCATGCACGCTAATGAACTGGCCACAATTATAGAGACAAGGGCTCAAATCTACTTGTCGTCGTTCCCCTGACTAATATGCAGGCGTGAATAAGGAAACGCCTATAGGACTCTATGGATTCGAGTGTGCTCTATCCAAATATTGTATCAGATTTGCTCAATGCGTCTAACAAGAATAGCTAGGTATCAAAGAAGATGCCACTTTTTTGTAGCAAAAACGCACAGAAATGGCTTCAAAACGATGTTTTTGTCGTATTAAATTTTTGACACCTAGCTCGTTTCGCAACTCCCACAGCTCAGAAACGTTTTATTTGAAGGAAAAAGTCTCTTCTATTCGAATCCGTTGTCAAAAAATCGTCCTCATCCGTGTTTCTGATTTTGCAGGTTAAAAGCTGAACTTGTTATTTTATTGATTAAGCCAAAAT